CCGACCCGTGCGGCGCTCCCTCGGCGCTGACCCTCCGACCCGTGCGGCGCTGACCCTCCGACCATGTGGCGCTCCCTCAGCGCTGATCCCTCGAAAGAGCCGGTTTAATGTGACCTATGGGGTCCCCACGTTCCATGTTTAAATTGGTTATAGCCCACATAGGGTCCTGGTAGTGGGTGATTTTGGATCGGGGTGTGGTGGGTTCTCTTCCTGCATATCTAAGAGTGAAAGCGAATGCTCTTGTCTATTGCTGTGTATTTGGGATGAACCAGTCTGTCTCTCGCCCTGTGCCTGGTATCAGTGATTTTATATTTTGAAATTTTCCAGGTAATTCCAATCCATGATGGGAGCTTTTCTGGACCGTCCCAAGACGGAGAAACAGAATGATCACGGTGAAGGGAATGGGATTCGATATGGGCTGTGCAGCATGCAGGGCTGGCGTGTGGAGATGGAGGATGCTCACTCAGCTGTGCCAGAGTTACAGGACCAGCTGAAAAACTGGTCCTTTTTTGCCATCTACGATGGGCATGCAGGGTCAGGGGTCGCCAAATATTGCGCCAAGAACCTCCTCCAGCACATAACCAACAACCAGGAGTTCAAGGGTGAGCTTCTTACAGGCCACATCAAACCTTCCGTCCTTGGTTAAGAACATACCTTACCCAGCACCCCCCCGCCAAAAAAAAACCCTTGGTAGTGTGAACAGCTCAGGGAGTGAAGACTTCAGGATTTTCCTGGGGTGAAGGAGACTGATGAAGATTTGATCAAGGTATACAAGGTTATGACAGTTTTGATAGACAGTGGTGAGTTGTTTCTATTGGATGGTGGTTCAAGGACTGGGGGACACAAATTTCTAGCTTCAGGTGAGAAATACAGGGGTAGGTGAGGAAAACATTGTTTATATAGCGAGTTGTAATGATGTGGACCACAGCATCTTTGTGGGTGATGGAAGTTGAGAAGGTGACTTACTTCAGAAGGAAATTGGATGAGTGTTTAATCAAAATAAACTTACAGCCTAGAACAGGGCAGTAGAATTGGCTTGTGGGATGTAAACACTGGACTGGTCCAGGGAATTGGACTGAATGGGTTGCTTCATGGTGGACCAGCACTGCTACAGTGGGCAGAATGGCATCTTGAGCTGTTTTGACTTTGTGATTTTGTTTTGTGCGTGTGAGACCCAGGTGTGCCATTTGAACCCAGCTTCCTGTGTTAAATCGTAAGCCAAACTTTGACCTTAGACCTTGATAATGAATAGATCCACAATAATTACAGTACCCCCACCCCCACCAACTCTCCCCTGCCAGGTCTGGGCATAGAAAGACTGCACTCACCATCCTGGCTGGACCCTTACTTCACCTTTACCCTTCCCTATTGAACACTGCAGCTTGTTGGTGCTTTCTTACTCCTCATTCATTCTGACCCTCACTGACCTACCTGGCCACTCCCTCCCCGACCCACATTGTTGTGGGGCTTTTGGCCTGGATATTGTGCTCATGTTGAGAAACCCTCACACCCTCTGACTGTTACCTGTCAACCCAAGGCTGTTCAAAGAAAATCTTGAGGAAGCCTTTCTGGAGCTGAGAGTGTGACCAACCCGAGCCGAGTTTACACTTTGCTGCGGCAAGTTGTGTTTGGTGTTTGATTTAGGGCACCTAAATATATTCCTGGAGAAGGTTGGTTAGAGGGGGAGAAACAAACGAATGTGATACAATTCTGCTGAACTGCGTCTGAATGTTTCTGTGGATTTTGCAGGGATGATTGATGGTAGCAGTGATTCACAAGCAGCTGTCCAGAGTGTGAAACGTGCCATTAGGACTGGATTCCTGAACATTGATGAACATATGCGAAACGACTCAGAGCTGGGGAACAATGACATGGACCGCAGTGGCTCGACAGCAGTGGCTCTCCTGGTCTCGCCCACGCACATCTACTTTATAAACTGCGGAGACTCCCGTGGTGTGCTGCAGCGGGATCAGTCTGTGCACTTCTCCACTGAGGATCACAAGCCATGTAACCCACGTGAGAAAGAGAGGATCCAAAACGCAGGGGGCAGTGTTATGATTCAGCGAGTCAATGGCTCACTTGCTGTGTCCCGGGCCCTCGGGGATTACGACTACAAGTGTGTGCATGGGAAAGGTCCCACGGAGCAGCTGGTCTCTCCAGAACCAGAGGTCATGGTCATCGAGCGATCCCAAGATGATGAGTTTGTCATCTTGGCTTGTGATGGCATTTGGGATGTAATGAGCAATGAGGAACTGTGTGCCTTTGTCCGATCCAGACTCGAGCTGACTGACGACCTGGAGCAGATCTGCAACCTGGTGGCAGACACTTGCCTGTACAAGGTAAGACTGAGAGAGCAGTGCCCATCACACTCAGAGGCCTATCCAATGTATGGATGAAGGGGCCATGACTCTACTCAGTATTGCTATCGCATAGCTCCCTGCAGATGGGCCTTGCTGATTGAAAACTTCAGTTCATGCAGAGCCCACACCACCCTCCAGTTCATCTCCATCTCAATAGTGTCTGACCCTGTCCTTGACCATGTGCAGGGCCAGGCTCCTGAATCCTCTGTATGGATGGGGTCAGGCTCCAGTATCAAAGACCCTGCTGGCCTCTTTTTGCACTGAAGGTCAGCCCTCAGTCAAAGATTATAGTGTGGGACATCCTGTGGGCATTTTAGGGATCTGGTAACAACATTGATGCTCCAAAATCAAAACAGACTTCAAAATGAACCTGTGCGTCACTGGGCTACAGCTCCCACACACGCACAAACACACAGAGTCTCACCAGGATACGGGTTCCCCCGCCCCGCCTCTCTTACTCACACGCACACACACACACAGGTCTACGCTCCCCCCCCAACACACACACACAAACACACGCTCTGACTGTAACTAGGGTATGAGTTGGGGAGAGGAATATTGGAGCATGTTAGGATGAGGGCTGAGTTGCTCCCTATTTTTGGTGTAAACGTGTTCCTATAGAGGCAGATGTGAGAATGAATTGTGCAAAACTCGAGTAATGAAGGGTTCAGTGGAAATGAACTTTGAATCAAGTTCAAGGACTGTAGAGATTGTCAAAGCTGTGGCTAATAGGTGTCGTTCACCTGTGTATTTCCATAGCAGCACCTGCTCAGCAATAACCTGCTCGGTGACGCCCAGTTTAGGTTCTGCCAGGGCCACTCAGCTCCTGACCTCATTACAGCCTTGGTTCAAACATGGACAAAAGAGCTGAATTCCAGCGAGTGACAGCCTTTGACATCAAGGTTGCATTTGACTGAGTGTGGCAAAACTGGAATCAATGGGTATCGGGGGCTATCTCTCCGATGGTTGGAGTCATACCTGACACATAGGAAGATGGTTGTGGTTGTGGGAGGTCAATCATCTCAGCTCCAGGAAATCTCTGCAGGAGTTCCTCAGGGTAGTATCCTAGGCCCAACCATCATCATCTGCTTCATCAGTGACCTTCCCTCCATCAAAAGGTCAGAAGTGGGATGTTCACCGATGATTGCACAATGTTCAGCACCATTTGCGACTCCTCCAATACTGAAGTAGCCCATGTCCAAATGCAGCAAACCCTGGATACAACAGGCAAGTAACATTTGCACTACACAAATGCCAGGCAGTGACCATCTCCAATAAGAGACTATCTAACCACTGCCCCTTGACGTTCAGTGGTGTTACATCACTGAATCTCCCACTATCAACATTCTGGGGTTACCATTGACCAGAAGTAGAACTGGACGAGCCACATAAATACAGTGACTACAAGAGTAGGTCAGAGGCCGGGAATCCTGCAGCGAGTCACTCACCTCCTCACTCCCCAAAGCCTGTCCACCATCTACAAGGCAAAAGTCAGGAGTGCGTTGGAATACTCCCATCCGTCTGGATGGGTGCAGCTCCAACAACACTCAAAAAGCACAATACCATTCAGGATAAAGCAGGCTGCTTTGTTGACGCCACATCCACAAGCATCCACTCCCTCCACCATCGACGCTCAGTAGCAGCAGAGTGTCCCGCATACAAGATACACTGCAGAAATTCACCAAAGATCCTCAGACAGCACCTTCCAAACCCACAACATCTCACACGTAGAAAGACAAGGGATACATGGCAACACCACCCCCTGGAAGTTCACCTCCAAGCCACTTACCATCCTGACTTGGAAATATATTGCTGTTCCTTCTGTGTTGCTAGGTCAGAATCCTAGAATTCCCTCCCTAATGGCGTTGTGGTTTGCCGACAGCACATGGACTGCAGCAGATCAGGAAGGCAGCTCACCCCCACCACCACCTTCTCAAGGGGCAGTTAGAGATGACGCTGACCCAGCCAGTGACACCCACATCCTGTGAACAAATAGACAGATTCGTGGGGTGCCCAAGTCAGCCCCTTTGCCAAATCCCGTTCCCTCAATTTAGGCCCCTCACTGTGCGTTTTGTAGCAGGTTTATGGTTAGGACCTGCCAGCATTGACAGAGCAATAGCCAAGATTACAGCAGTGAGGATCTAGCTGAAAACAGGAGGCTTTTTACAATCCTGACATTAACATTCTGGCTGGAGGACCGGAGACATTGGGAGCTGGGAGACCCCATTGTAAGAGACATTTCTCTGTCACTGTCTTTCTTTGTGTCTCTATTTGCTTCACTGAAACAAACAAGGGGAAGAGACCATTCAGCCCCTCCAGGCCTGTTCTGCCATTCAGTAATCATCCCACCAGAGAGCCACTTGAGGCTTAGCAATTATACTGAATTTGCCTGTGAGTGGATCTGACCAGGAGCTGGCACCTAAAGCAGGTACACTTCGAAGACCAGTATGTAAATATGCATGTTGTTTGGATGAAGCCTCAGTTTGTCTCTGTCACTCTTCCGACAATGCGGCGCTCCCTCAGCGCTGACCCTCCGACAGTGCGGCGCTCCCTCAGCGCTGACCCTCCGACAGTGCGGCGCTCCCTCAGCGCTGACCCTCCGACAGTCTGAGGCTCCCTCAGTAGAAGGGACCATTTTGCCCAATTCACTGAACTACACACCAGAAAATATCGCAAGCTCTAATGAAGTCTAAAAATATCCAAACTAAGAAGTGCTGCCAGGAAGAATGGCTGTAACGACATCCAAATTCCATCAAATCCAAAAGGGTCACTGGTGACCTTTACAAAATTCATGTCCCATTCTGTTGACTAATCAGATGGCTGAATGATTTTAACTGCGTTCATCAGGAATCAAGTTAATATGGAGGAAATGCTGAGGGAGCGCCGCACTGTCGGAGGGTCAGCGCTGAGGGTGCGCCGCACTGTCTTTTGATGGAAGATCAAACTGAGGCCATGTCTATCCTCTTGGAGGGGTAAAAAATCTCACCATTAGAAGGCAAATTCAAGCTTAACCCAGTAGCCTTAGGCCAATATTTATCTCTCAAGGTGACACAAACTCAGTTTTGAGAAAGGGTAACTGGACCAGAAATGTTAACTCTGCTTTCTCTCCATGGATACTGTCAGACCTGCTGAGTTTTTACAGCAATTTCTGTTTTTGTTTTTGATTTCCAGCATCTGTTCTTTTGGGGTTTTTTTTTTGCCTTATTAACAGGTTTCTTTGTGGGATCTTTCTGTGAACTGTGTTGGCTCGATGATTGTACATTCTGTGCATTTGTTGGTAAAGATCTTTGCAATGTCCTGAGATGAAGCAAGATGTTTTTGAAATGCATATTGTTGTTAGTCTTATGCATGTGAGGATTTGACTTGCTAATTTAGTAGTGAAATCATGAACTTTGGACAAGTTGAATTCGGGGCTCCTGTTTGTGTTTGTCTTCCACAGGGGAGTCGGGACAACATAAGCATCGAGCTGGTGTGCTTTGAGAATGCACCAAGACCCTCGGAGGAAGCGAAACAAAGGGAAGCCGAGCTTGACAGATACCTGGAGAAACGAGTGAAAGGTCAGGGGCTGTGAGCAGGCTGGGCTGAGCCCTCTCAAGACTGACACTTTTGTTTTAAATTTTCAAGGATTTCCAGCTATTGATGAGGGAATTGACTAGAGGCTGGGTCCGTTCCCCCTATGCTGACTGTGGCTCTCATGGATTATTCAGGGAGTGGGATTTGTCACAGTGATGGACTGTACTTTGTTTAATCCCCTGGACCTTGAGGCAGGGTTGGGGGTGGATTTTAACCTGGGATATCTTACCGTGTGGTCCTCATTCCAAACTCCAGATCATACGAGAGTCCCTGTTGTAAATGATCAGGGAATCCAATCAGGAGAATAAAACTGATCCTTCCTTGTCATCGTAATGTTTCATTGCAATCTGTAATTGAACAACACTGGGCACCTCCCTGACAATGTGGAAAATTTGCCACATATGTCCTGTACATAAAATGCAGGACAAATCCAGCCCACCCAATTACTGCCCCATCAGTTCACTGTCAATCAGCAGTAAAGTGATGGACGGTGTCAGTAACAGTGCTAACAAGCAGCACCTGCTCAGTAATAACCTGCTCAGTGACGCCCAGTTTGGGTTCTGCCAGGGCCACTCAGCTCCTGACCTCATTACAGCCTTGGTTCAAACATGGACAAAAGAGGTGAATTCCAGAGGTGAGGGGAGAGTGACAGCCCTGGACATCAAGGCTGCATTTGACTGAGTGTGGCATCAAGAAACCCAAGTAAGACTGGAATTAGTGGGAATCAGGGGGCAAACTCTCGACTGGTTAGAGTCATACTTAAGCATTTTGATTAGCATCATATCCACATTCACTCCCTCACGAGCAGCAGTATGTACTATTTACAAGATGCACTGCAGAAAATAACCAAGCATCCATAGATTGCATCTTCCAAATGCATGACCACTTCCATGGAGAAGGACAAGGGCAGCAGATATATGGGAACACCACCCCATGCAAGTTCCCTCCAAGCCGCTCACCATCCTGGCTTGGAAATATATCGCCGTTGCTTCAAAATTCTGGAACTCCCTCTGTAATGGTATTGTAGGTGTCCCTACAGCACATGGACTGCAGCGGTTCAAGAAGGCAGCTCACCTTCAACTTCTCAAGGGGACAGTTAGGGATTGGCAATAAACGATGGCCCAGCCAATGACCCTCATGTCCTTTGAGTGAAAAGAAACAAAATATTGGGGCTGGGAGCTGCCCCTTTCTCTGCTGGTTGATTATTCAGCTACAGTTTAAGTCTCCCTCATCCCCATGAGATGAACACCCCTGATCCCTGACCAGGGTGGCCAAGATCATGTTGCTTCTTCATTCCCTTCCTTCATTTCAGCTCTCCATCAACGCAAACATTTTATATTTGTTTCTGTGATGTTCACAGTATCTTTTCCTGTTTTCTTGCAGAGTTGGTGACCACGTCTGGCCCGGATGCTCCTCTGGGGTTACTGGACGTAATGCATACTCTGCTCATCGAGAACATTCCCAACTTGCCACCTGGGGGAGGCCTCATCAGCAAGTATGGAGCCCTCAGAGAGTCAGGGCCCGTTTACCCTCTCACCTCCTTCCTCTTGGCCCAGACAGTGGTACCTTCCCAGTGATAACCCCATCCAGTGTATACAATGCCTGACAGTGTGGTGCTGCCATGGTACTAATCCTCTGAAACTGTCCACTTCCTCGGCGCCGACCCTCCGACAGTGCGGCGCTCCCTCGGCGCCGACCCTCCGACAGTGCGGCGCTCCCTCGGCGCCGACCCTCCGACAGTGCGGCGCTCTCTCGGCGCTGACCATCCGACGGTGCGGCGCTCCCTGGGCACTGACCCTCCGACAGTGCGGCGCTCCCTCGGCTCCGATGGTGCGGTGCTCTCTCAGCGCTGACCATCCGACGGTGCGACGCTCCCTTGGCGCTGACCGTCCGACAGTGCAGTACTGACCTTGTCACTTTATGTTGCTATGGGATTATGGAGTTAGACTTTGTGACTATGATACAGTTGCTGAACACTTGTGTCTTCTACACCGATTCTGATTCAGAAACATTTTGTCGAAATAAGTTTCTTTTATGTTTGTATGTTTCAGACGGAATGTAATTGAATCAGTTTATAATCGGCTGGTCCCTCCAAGCACTGATGAGGTGAATATTTACAAACAACTGATGAAGTTTGCATGTGGGTAGGAGATAACTTTTTGCCCCATTATAAACAACCTTCTGCTCTGTCCTTGACTGGAACAGAAAGCAGGCAATGGTGTAATGGTATTGTTGCTGGTCTAGTAATCCACACCTGGGAACCCGTGTTTGAATAGCAGGCAATGGAATTTGAAGTCAGTAAAAATCTGGTATTAAATTCTAGTGATGACCATGAGATCATTGTTTTGTTTTGTGACAAACAGCAATCTGGTTCACTCGTGGCCTTAAGGGAAGGAAAACCTCTGTCCTTACTTGGTCTGGCCTCTGTGTGACTTCAGAGCCACTGTAATTTGGTTGACTCTTAACTGCCCTCTGAAATGGCTAAGCAAGTCGCTCTAGTCGTACCCCAATCACTAAAATGTCTCAAAAAAAATGAAACAGGACAGTCCACCTGGGGACCAGAATCAGGGCACCAGAAATGACAATGGCAAGAACAGCCCTGTCTATCCTGTAAAAGACTTCAAACTAACATCCAGGTGCTAATTCCAACATTGGGAGACCTGTTTCACAGACTAGTTAAGCAACAGCCTGACATAGTCATACTCTCAGAATCATACCTTACAGACAATGTCCCAGACACCATCATCACCATCCCTGGATATACCCTGTCCCACCAGCAGGACAGACCCACCAGAGTGGGTGGAACAGTGGTATACAGTCGGGAGAAAGTTGCTCCAGGAGTCCTTACCATTGACTCTGGACCCCATGAATTCTCAAGTCTCTAGGTCAAACATCGGCAAGGAAACCTCCCGCTGATTACCACCTACTGTCCTCCCTCAGCTGATGAATCAGTACACCTCCATGTTGAGCAACACTTGGAAGAAGCACTGAGGATGGGAAGGGCACAAAATGTACTCTGGGTAGGAATTTCAATATCCACCACCAAGAGTGGCTCAGCAGCAGTACTATTGATCGAGCTGGTTGAGTCTTAAAGGACAGAGCTGTGAGACTGGGCATGAGAGTATCAGTAAGAGTAACTATCGCACAGTCCTTGTTGAGACAAAGTCCCACCTTCTCATTAAGAATACCCTCCATCATGTTGTGTGGCACTATCACCATGCTAAATGGGACAGACTTCAAACAGATCTAGGGATTCAAGACTGGGCATCCATGAGGGTCTGTGAACGATCAGCAACAGAACTGTACTCCAGCACAATCTTGTAACCTTAAGGCCCAGCATATTCCCCCACTCAACCATTACCGTCAAACCAGGGGATCTGCCCTGGTTCAATGGAGAGTGCAGGAGGGCATGCCAGGAGCAGCACCAGGCATACCTGAAAATGAGGTATCAACCTGGTGAAGCCATTAAACAGGACTACCTGCATGTGAAACAGTGAAAGCAGCAAGTGTTAGACAGAGCTAAGTGATCCCACAACCAACGGATCAGATCTAAACTCTGCAGTCCTGCCACATCCAGTTGTGAATGGTGGTGAACAATTAAACAGCTCACTGGAGGAAGAGCCTCCACAAAATCCCCATCCTCAATGATGGAAGAGCCCAATAGGTTTGTGCATCATGGTAGTTTAATCATCACAGTGTTCAGTTTGATTTGATTTCTTTTGCTCTTGGTTTTCTAGGATTTGCAGGAACCCGATGCCACGTTGTAACTTGAGGTTCCAGATGCGTTGGGTATGACTGAGGAACAAAATGCAGAAAACACTCACCCCTGGATTCTTTGTTTGATGAACACTTGCACATTGCAGATGAGATATCTTGAGTGACATATTTATATATTTGGATTTTTTTTTTTGCCAGTCGCCTGCAGCCGCTTCTGGACATTGTAGATTGTTGCTGTTCCCTAGTGCTGGTGTAACATCTACATTCTTGAGCAGCAGCTCCTTCGCTGTCGAGACAAATGTCTCCTCCAACTGCAGCCTCTTTCCCCCTCTGTACGGGGCACCCCTCACACTGCAGCCCCTTTCCCCACTTTGTACAGGGCACCCCTCACACTGCAGCCCCTTTCCCCACTCTGTACAGGGCACCCCTCACACTGCAGCCCCTTTCCCCACTCTGAACAGAGCTCCCCTCACACTGCAGCCCCTTCCCCACTATGTACAGAGCTCCCCTCACACTGCAGCCCCTTTCCCCACTCTGAACAGAGCTCCT